TGTTTCTGTTTTGTTGAAGTGTGTAAGATTTTTTCAGCCGCAAGTTGGTTTAGGGAAAGGTTTCAGATTTAAACAAAGACTGCTCTTTTGAATTATCTGCTTTTATTACGTTAATTAAAACAAAACTCTATAGAGCCTCTAAATGCCTCACAAGCTACATAAAAAAATACCCAGTTGGTGTGTGAGAATTACAAAGCTAATACACACAGTCGGTGAAGAAAACAACCCATATTGAAAGGCAATTAAACAAGAGCTATATCACCATATTATATTTAAAATAGGAAATACAGGTGCAGAAAACCAAGTAATCATCATTACTGTTACACTTGTCTTTTGAATGGATTCTCTTAAAACTGATATTGCCTCCCTTCCTTTCCACCTAAAATACATGCTTCTCATACTTTAATTGCACATAATCACCTGGGGACCCTGTTAAAATGCAGATTCTGATTCTGAAGACCTGCCCTGAGGTCTGAAATGCTGAGCATCCAGCCAGCTCCCAGGGGCCCCAGTGTTCAGATCAGACTTTGAATAGCAAGATCTTTAACTATGGGTAGCCAGGAGCTAAAACGACAAATGATAAGAAGTGCAGGATTTCCCTTTTTCTGTTGTTGTTTTTTTGGTCCACAAAATAACCAAATCCAGACTGAAAATCTTAGATCATTTGCTTAGTTTTAGCTTAATCTAAGCTTAGCTTAATTTATTCTTCTTTACCTTGACTTCTTCCTCACGAGTGCCTTCTCTATTCCCACAAAAGTTCTTACGTACACACACCTGTTATTATCTAGAATGATACAAGTAAATATTTGTGTGATCCCTGGGCTAGGGGCACTCAAGGCATGGTTCCTTTTTGTGCTTGATGAGGATGTTTTCTGAAATAGGATCATGTGGAAGAGACTGCAAAATTCTACTAAGGAGTAAATTGTGCCCCAACTTGAAAGCAGTGAACAACTCAGCAATCATTTCTGTTTGGCTTTAGAATGTATTATAATAAATTTATTTTCCAATTACATTTTACTTAAGGTCCTAATAAAATAGATTTTTATATTCTGATTATACACTAACTTTTGGTGAAAAGGAGGTAGGAATAAGGGTATCTGCATAAAAGCATGAAGAAGTCTACGTAGGAGGGAGGTTGAAGATAAAATTTTTTGTATGGTTGTTACATCTGTGGAAAATCAAGAGTTCATTTGTCAAATCATAATGCAAACCAAATAATATAAATGAATACTGTATTATTTTCCCCCATTCTCGATGGGTCATTTTGACTCAGTGCTTTCAAAATACTGTTAAGGACCTTTTTTGGGGTACAAAGAACAACCATTCATTGGTCAAATACTATGCATCCATCTCTCTCTCTCTTTATTATTTTTGTGAAGAGGTTTTTGCTATAGGTGGCGTGCAGTAGTCGGAAAGACAGAGAGAGACAGAGACAGAGAGGAGCAAGAAATCACCCCCTAGGGGGGATGGCCATGCCAAAATTCCTTCTCCTCCAATCTTCTCTTGGGATCTTGGGCACTCTCACCCCCGCCCCTGTGTGTGCACCCACCTCTAAACTAAGAACTTTTTATGCAGTATCTTATTAAATTCTTGCTACATATGTATGAGGTAGCTGCCTTATGCCAACAAGATAAAATACAGCCTATTGATGGACTTTTACATTGAAAAAAGTTCTGAAAAAAATTAACATGACAGAGATTTTTGGAAAAAAGCCCTGTTACATGGTTCATTTTATATAAAAAAAAATCAAATATATGTAAAGTTTAACTTACAAATAGGAAACCCAAGAATTACTCCATGAAAAATAAATCCATCTATTGGACTCCTTGAAGTGCTCAGTATATTTAACAGGTTATTTTTTACCTGAGTTACATATATTTAATATATATATACAAGGGGACTTCAAGAGGTTAGTGAAAAAATGCAATTAAAGTATGAGTTTACTTTGGTGTAAAAAATTTTGAAATCCATGAATTTTGAAATTTGTAATATGAATTTTCTATAAACTTTTGTAAGACCTTCATATATAATTTTCCAGGTAGATGCTTACACAAAGGGAGGCAGGTCTATGCTAAAACTCAACTGCCACTCACTTTGATTACTTAGAAGGTAAATCTATGACCTACATGAGTGTTTCCCAAATTTTCTAAGAAATTTGGAAAAAAAATTGGGAAAATTTCCTTTTATAAGAACCACTTGGAATGTTTATTAAAACCATCAAATTCCAGTTGCCTCCACTGGAGATTCTGAATCAGTAGATCTGAAGTGAGATCCAAGTGTTCACATATTTAATATATTATCTACATTTTTCTTATGAGCTTGTGTTTCTTAGCTTAACACTGAAATCCCTCTGAGGTCTGGCCTTAAGAAATATTTCAAACATCTATAACAGTAAACTATGCTTAAAATTAGCTACTCATTTTCCCAAATAGGCACTTTCCTCCTTTGGACCTTCATTCAGGCTATTCCCTCTACCTAGAATGTTCTTTTATCTTTGTCCACAACATTTTATTCATCTTTCAAGGTTCAGTTTAAATGTTAACTTCTCTAAAAAGGCTTCTTCGACCCAAGGACTACGATTATATTTTCTCATGTATTTCCACAGCTCTTTAAACCTCTGTTGCAGTGATTCCTCAAGTATGGTCCCTGGACCAGCAGCATCAGCATCACTTGAGAACTTGCTGGAAATGTAAATTCTCAGGGTCCACTCCGGACATACTGAGTCAGAAACTCTGAGTATAGCGCCCAGCAGTCTATCTTCAAACGCCTCTGGGTGATTATAGTGTACCCTGGAGTTTGAGAACCGCTGCTCCAATGCATTCTGTATTTCATTATTACTTTACTATATATCAATACTTCAACTTCTCTCCCAGAATGTCAAGTTCCACAAGAGCAGAAATAGTTTTCATCCTTTGCAGTACCAGGCACAGTGTTTTCACTTAGCAGATCACAATACATCATGTTGAATTAAATTGCTATTTCTTTTGTATCAAAATCTATGTATGCAAGATGAGCAGACTGCAGCATGCTAATTTTTCATTTTAACGGTGTTTAAGAACCTTTAAAGGTTGTAGAATGATTGATGCAGATGCAGACACATGCCAATTGTAAAGAAGACTAAAATAAAGGAAGTGGCTGCTTTTATTTTTCAACAAAACCAAGTTTTTCTCTATGGTTTTTATCTAAGTTTAATACACACAATGCTGCTTAAATGTTTACTAATAGTAACAATAACAATCTCCTCTGGAACTTTCTCTCTTTACTTCTCTTACCTTTAAGGGTTTTATGCTTAAATTAAAAAAAAATTTCTGGGGAACCAGCAGTTAGCATAAGGGCTATGTCGCTGGACTCCCACGTAGTCGACTGCGGTTCACGTCCCGGACCCGGTGGCTTAAAACTCACGCCGGGCGCGTGTGCGTGCGTGCCCAAGATCCTGAGAGGAGAATGGAGGAGAAGGGATTGTAGCGTGACCATCCCCCCTGGGGGGTGATTTCTCACTTTCTGTCTCTATGTCTCTCTCTGTCTGTCTGGTGAGTGCACGTACCCTATAGTGAAAACCTCTCCAAAAAAAATTTTTTTTTCTAAAATTTCCTAAGTGGGTTTCAATTTCACATTATCTATTAATAAATTAGATAATAAGTATTACATAGGATGCCTATATACTACTTATCAATAAATAAATTTGAGATATAATTCATTATACAATTATGTATCTCTTACTATAGTAACGGTCAACATAACAAAGTTTTAGAATTCACATTAAAAAAACAAACTAAATGAAAACAACCACTTACACTGATTAATGTTTCATTTATTACTGCCCAAAGTTAAATAACAACAGGTTTAAATGGCCATTTTTACTAAAAATTTTTAGTAAAACAGAATATACAAGAACAATACTGGTGAATAATCCAGACAATAAGTAAATCCACAGACTTAGCATTATTTTGCTTTCACAAAATACTTTTCTTCTTGTTATAAAAACATAAAATTGGGAAAAAATCAGTCCATATGTTTGTTGTGAAAAGTAAACAAATGATCAGATTCAAAAGGAAAAAAATCAAAACAATTACGAATTGTTTTTTAAAAGTAAAAGAAGTGAGGCCAGCTAATGGTTAAGGGAGCTGGATTCCCACATGGCTGCCTATGTGGTTTGAGTACCAGACCTGGCAATTTCAAAAACACCCCAGGCACAAGCCAAAAGTCCCAAAAAGAGGGAGAAATGGAGGAAAAAATATTGTGACATGACTATTCCCCATGGGGTGGGTAGTGGGGAGAAGGTGCTTTCTTCCTCTCCCTCTCTGTGTCTATTTCTCTCTGGCAAGTGCACACACCCTCTGGCAAGTTAAAAAAAAAAAAAAAAGGTATGCTTTGGGACGAGCAGATGGTATAATAGTTACGTCACTGGACTCCCATATAGGCAACCATGGCTCGAGCCCGGACCCAGCATATTTGTGTGAGTGCTCCAAATCCCAAGAGGAAAATGGATGAGAAGGGATTGTAGCATGGCCATCCCTTCCCCTTGGGGGTGGAGGGAAGGGCAGGATTTCTTGCTCTCTCTCTCTCTCTCAGGTGAGTGTGTGCGATAGCAAAAAATCTCTCTGAAAATAAAAAAAGTATGCTTCATTATTAGGTGTCTTTATATTTTGTCTTATTAATATACAATTTATTTCCGTAGGGCACATGCATTCCCGAGAGAGACAGAGAGAGAAGGAAAGTCCCTGGGAGAGAGATTTCTCAGTCTGGGGGGGGAGGAGGATGGCCATGTTCCAATCCCCTCTCCTCTTTTATTGCCCCGGGATTTTTATAAAATAATTATTTATTTTATTTATTCATTCATTTATTTTTTAGTTTGGTCAGAGAGAGACAGAAGGTGAGAGTGAGAGAGAGAGAAAGTGAGAAAGCAAGTCACTAGATTCAATACTCGAACCCTGGTCGGCCATGTGGGAGTGTTCAGCACCTTAACCACCAAGCCACCTGCTGGTCCCCATTGCCCCGGGATTTTGAGCACACACGCACAGGTGCTCAATGTGTCCCCCAAGCCACTCTCTCTGGACCTCAAACCACAGTCAGCCATATGGAATTCAGTGCCTTAAACACCATGCCATCTGCTGGCCCCTAATATACAAAATAATTTTTTGGCTTGTTTTAGAAAATGCCATCAAATATTCCCAAAAAAGACCTTATTTCATCAGCTTCATCATCAGGATGATACCTATGGGAAAAAGCAAATAACTATTTTTGTAGTAAAATTTATCTTAAAATACACACTACATAATGTAATATACTAAATATAATCTAGATACACTTAAAGAGTTCTATGAGGTTAATATGTCACATGAACTTCAGTATGCATAACCTTGTAGGAAGTCTATGGAAGAAAACCAGACTTCATAAACTGAATGGTAAGGACCAAGTCTCTTAGATATTTCTTTAAACATGTTAGAAAATAATATAGGAGAGAGAAACCACTAGTTTCATTTCTAAAAGGGCCAGTAGAAAGGGCACCGATTAGGTTTAATTTGATGTTTTCATTGAATCTGTTGAATTGTGAAAGAACTGGTTGGCCCAAACACAACTCCAGGGGCAAGGTGGTGGTGCGGCACTAACAGTATTGGACCTACGTGAGGAAAGTCCCAGCTCCATGTCCTGATACCTGAGCACACTGGGAGAGTACCCATAATTAGGCCAGCTGGTAATGGGGTTTAGATTGTGGCATGGGGACTCTATAAAGGTGTTTATCTCTCTTTCTCTTTTGAAAGATACAAAAAAAAAAAAAACTTTAAAAATTTAAAATAAAACTTGAACGTTTGACAAATTGGCTGATCTAATTTATATTTCTCAGGTGACTTTATAATTTAGAAAATGAACATACTGTATTCAAATCAGTAAAAAATTTGTCAGTTCAAAATAATGTTCTAATTAATAGCATCAAACATATAGGTTTTCAAAAACTGATATATTTGATGTTGCAAAACATCTAAAAGAGTTTAGCTCACCAGGGTTCTACAATTTCAATATCTTTAGTAAATAAATTCTTAGACTCTGATCTTTAAAATGAACCAAGAAAAAGGAATGCTAAACCTTTGTAAAACTTTTTGTTGGTATAATCTTGAAATATTTTTTTAAATAATTATTTTATTTATTTATTTTTACTCATTTATTTAAATTTGGCCAGAGAGGAACAGAGTGAGAGGGAGAAACAGAGAGAAGAATTGATAACGCAAGTCGCCAGATATGGGACTCGAACTGTCCTCGGCCATGTGAGAGTCCAATGCCCTTAACCAACACACCACCTGCCAGCCCCAATCTTGAAATATTTTAAAAGTGTTCTTACCTGAGATCAATTTCCTTTTTACATTCACTGTTTCGAACAAAAATATCTACATCATTAAAATTTGAAAAACTTGGTATTTTTTCAGAGTGAGTAAAGCATAGCTTCTCAATCTCTGGTGACAGATTCTGTTGTTTTCTTTCTTGCAAGTGAACCTATATTTTGAGGCAGAAAACAGCACTCATTGAGAGTTTTAATAGTTGGGCAAAATTGTGAAGAAAAACAAAGTACTTCTTTTTACAATACTTGCATTTCCAGTCTGTTGAGGTAACTTTGTCATGAAGGATACATCAAACTTGGACATAGCAGAATCTGATAAATAAATATCTGGCTTCTCATGTGATGGAACAAAACTAAAAATGAAAATTAATTACTTATAAAATAAGGCAAACATAAAAAAAACCATTCTAATTAGGATTAATAATGACTTTGGGGGAATATGATTAAAGTTTATCACATTTCTCACCAAAAAATTATGTACTTTAAAATTATTTATTTATTTAGGTTTTGCCATAGGAGTGTGTGCTTAACATAGCGAGACAGTGAGAGGTAAGTGAAAAATCGACCCACAATACCTTTTCCTCCTTCTCTTCTTGGGATTCTGGGCTTCTGTACACACACGCTGGCATGATTTTCAAGCCACTAGGTCTGGGACTCAAACCACAGTCGGCCATGTGCGAGTCCAGCACCTTAACCACTATGCCTCCTGCTGGCTCAAATGATGCACTTTCTTATACTCAAGAGAACTCAATATATTTCATTTCTTTTGGACCAAATCACAACTTACATACACCAAGCTAGAAAAGAATACTATTGTATTTTCTACATCCTACTTGCTTAACTTTTAATCTCCTTTCCTTATTCTGGTTTTACTGCAAATAGACATATCTAGTTACCATCTTATATGTACACTAGAATTCATCCTGAACATTTTGTATTAATTCATTCATTTAAATACATTTATTATTTACTACCATATACCAGGTATTGTACTAGGAACCAGTTATAAAGTGGTAAACAAACCTTCAGGGAGAGACCAATGGTAGAGAAGTAGACAATGAATCAAAATAAATAAACATATGTGTGTGTGTGTATATGTCCCCTCACCCCCCGGCATGTTTTTCAAGCTGCCAGGAACCATGGAATCAGCTAAGTGGGATCCAGTGTCTTAACCACCATACCACCTGGCCCAGAATGTGAATTGTTTTTTAGAGGTTATGCCTTAGCGTGCAAGCACTCACTGGAGAGACAGAGAGAGATGAAAACAGTGAGAGGGAAAGTGAGAAATCACCCCTGGCCCGGGGTGGGGCGGGGATGGCCATGCTGCTGTCCCTTCTCCTCCTTTCTCCTACTGCGATCTTGGGCACACACGCACATGCGCCCAGTGTGAGTTTCAAGCCACCAGGTCCAGGACTTCAACCACAGTTGGCCGTGTGGGAGTCCAGCGACATAACTACTATGCCATCTGCTGGCTCTAGAATGTGCATTTTTAATATGCACCCTCAAGTGATTTTGATGCACGTGGTTTGACAACCATACTTTGAGGAACACACTTCAGAGATGAAGAGGGTTTGGCTATACTTTATAGCTTCTCTGATATCTGTTGACTAGATCCCATCTCTAATTATGTGTCAAGAGGCTATGAAGTTCTAGATATTACAAACTGAAGTTCTAAAACTTACGTGTTTGATAATTCTCTTTGGGATTTTCTCTCTGACTCTTGGAGGGTCAGCTTACTTTTGGTACTTATACTCACAGTGTTTCCAAATCCTATATAAAGAGAACATTTTGAAATAAAATGCTAGGAAATAATTGAGTAGGGCTTTTCACAAGTTCAACAAGGACTTTCTCAAACAGATATGATCTGGTTAAGAAGGAACAAATTATTCTTCTCAATAATAAAATTTAATTTGCACAGAAAAATAAGCATACAAAGCTAAATGACTAAAACTATAAGATACATAGGTTTAGCTTATTAGTCACTAATGTTAAAAGGTCCTCAAGTCAAGTACCATTATTTTTATATTTATTGTATTTTTTAATTTGGCAGAGGTACATGTACTCCCTGGACAGACACACACACACACACACACACACACACACACACACACACACAGAAAGTGAGAAAGCACCCACCATGGAGGATGATTATGCACAATCCCTTCTCAATTTCTCTCTCCATTTAGGATTTTGGGTTCCTACTCACATGAACCCAGCATGGTTTTCAGGCTGCCAATCTGGGACTCAAACTACATGGTCACCCATGTGGGCTCAAGATGCCTCAATACCAAGGAATGGTCTCTATAATTATTTTTTAATTCATGTATATAAATGATCAAGTAAAATTTTATTCAGTATTTCCAATCATCTGTGTGTAATTATCTAAAGTGCTCTTTACATGAGGCAACATGGTGTTTATTGAGACTGATTTTTTTCCAGTGCCAAAGCTATACCTCTCTAGGATTAGGCTACCTCAAAGGGTAAGTACACACTGCCTATCAATTTAGAGCACACAATTATGCTGAATTTTGAGATAGAGGCCGGTAGTTGTATAGTGATACAGAAAACTATGCCTAATGATCCCTTGGTATAGAGATTTTCTGGTGCTATTTTGTGAAGGTAGTTAAATCCTGTCCTTTCTGGAAGGAGTATTAACTCTTTGATAATTCTTAATGCCCTGAAACAATAAATAAAACTTCAACTTCTGCTTCTTGTATAAATATTACATTTTTCCAAGAACATGGCAGGGCAGGTGGATAGTAAGAGGCAACTATAATTGTGGGAATAAGAGTCAGAGATGTCTGAAGGACTGAGTTTCTTCTGTCAGACCTCAAATGTGAGAATATCTCCATATCCTATTTTGTCAGGCACCAAAATTTCCAGTTCTCTGTTTTAGTGAAATAGAGTAAATTCAACTGTAACTTAAATAACCAAGTCCCATTATTTTTTTATTGTATATGATTTAAATGCCATTTCCAGTAAGGAGAAACTAACCTTTTCTTATTTATGTTATACACCCAAAGAGTCCAATTTCAAGTAGATTTTTGTTTTTGTTTTTGTGAACAGATAAATACTTTTAAAAAACTGAAATATTTTGGGGCCAGCGGGTGGCATGGTGGTTTCAATGTTGGACTCCCACATGACCAACCATGGTTTGAGTACCAGATCCAGCAGCTTGAAAATGATGCTGGGTATGTGTACCTGCATGCTCAAGAATCACAGGAGGAGAAGGAAAAGAAGGGATTGCAATGTGACCATCCCCCTTGTGGGGTGATTTCTCACTTGCCCTCTCACTGTTTCTGTTTCTCTCTGCTCATACACATGCCCTGTGGCAAAAACAAACAAACAGACAAACAAAACCTTAAAAAAAAAAAAAAAGTAGGTGATGTGGCAGTTAGGGCAGTCAATTCTATGTAGCTGACTTCACAGTTCAAGTCCTGGACCCAGTGGCCAGAAAACCACGCTGGGTACATGTGCATAAACGCCCAAAATCCTGAAAGGAGAATGGAGGAGAAGGGACTGAGGCATAGCCATTCCTCCTGGGGTGTGTGGGGGGTGATTTCTCATTTCCACCTCTTTGTCTCTCTTTGTCTCTCTCCAGCAAACACATGTGCCCTAAGGCAAAAAAAAAATCTAAAAAAAGAATTTTTAAACAAAATACTTTTTCCTTTAAAAATATTAGCTCCATCTTAGAATGAAGAGCAAGGTAGTCTGTTTTATAAGAGAAAATTCAATAAATAATCTGAATTTGAATAAAGTCTTTAATAAGAGAGGAACAGCAGAATAGAAAAAAAGCTCACTTGCTATCTTATCATCATGGAATATCTTGACCTCTGTCCTTAGAATGGAAAAAATGCTCTTCATGGAAAGATCATATTTTCAGTTTTGCTAAAAATTATAATCTTAACAAACCAAATCTTACTAAACTAGCGTATACACACACACACACACACACAAAGGCAAAGAAAATTATTCTCAGGAGCTAAAATGAAACAATATATAAAGAATTTCTAATTAATTATTTCGTGCTAAAACATAATACCTGATGTTTTTGTCTCCTCAGTATTGGCTGAAAAGCTAGTAACGTCTATTAAGTTGTCATCATCAAAATCATCCCAAACTTCATTTCCCAATTCAAAGTTCACATTCAAAACTTCTGAAAATGGAGAGTTGTTTTTATCCTTATCTGTCAAATTTTGGTTTCCAGACATATTAAGATTACTGTTGAACAGCATTGTTTGAGGGGCTTTCTCATTTGAAGTTGTAGAATAGTTCCATCTAGAAAAGTCTGTCATGTGTATGTATAAAAGAATATAGATACTTTTAAAACTACAAAGATCATTATCTATTGATGTGTCAAAGACATTTTTCAACTACTAAACAAAGTTCTTGAGCACTAGTCTTCAAAAGCATTGGGTCAAGCATTGTTGAATATTGTGTTCAGCCAATTCTTTTACTATATTACATGTACTGATTGTTGCATTAAATTTAATTTCAATGGATTTTTTTTTGGAGGCGAGAGGTTTTTACTATAGGATGCATGCGCTCACCAGAAAGCCAGAGAGACAGTGAGACAGAAAGCAAGAAATCATCCCCCAGAGGGGATGACCATGCTGTAATCCCTTCTCCTCCATTCTCTTCTCAGGATCTTGGGCACGCACGCACATGCAACACAAGCAAGTTTAAGCCACCAGGTCCAGACTCAAATTAAAGCTGACTACATGGGAGTCCAGCGATATAGCCATTACACCAACTACTGGTCTCAGTTTTCAATGGATTTTTAAAGACAACTAATTTTCCTCTTAATTCCTAATGAGAATAACTTTATTCCAAGACTGGACTATAACAGCTTCTAAAATAGTCTTTTTCCACCAGCTCTTCTCCCTATAAATAAATTTTGAGTATTGTTATGAAATATGTTAGTCCAGAGGCCAGCAGGTGGAGTGAGGGTTAAGGGTGCTGGACTCCCACATGTCCAACCACGGTTCAAGTCCTGGACCTGGCGGCTTGCTTTCTCACTTTATCAATCAACCTCTCTCTCTCTCTCTCTCCCCCTCTCTAGTCAAATTAAAATAAATAAAGTAAAATAAAAAATAATTCTTTTTTTAAAAAAGAAATATGTCAGTCCAAAACATATCTTTATTTTTTCCCCTGCTATAAAATTCTCAGTTTTACTCATTTTTAGCCTGAATTTGCAGCAAGACTACCTGTGTAAAAATTCCACCTCTCTTTTTTCTTAGTTGTATGATCTCAGACAAGTAATTCTAACTCTCCAAACATAGTTTTCTCCCCTGCAAAATGGGGTAATAATAGGACCTACCTCAAAAGACTGCTATAGAGACTAAATGGCTTTACTTATACAGTTTTGCATAGTGGTATATCAATAACTGATTAGTCACCTCTCAAAAAATGTATGCAGACATATACGTATAGGTTTATTGTATACTTTACTGATGTAAAGAATTTGTAGCACACAATTTACAAGTGATAGTAAAATATATAGCATGCTTAACTGTAAATTCTATATATCTAATTGAGTCTCACTGAACATGTTCATTAAGTTTTGCTATTCTTCTACCTGGAGTCAACCTGTGGTTACAATTGACAAGTACAATTCTCACATGAATGTTCAATATTTTTGTTGGCTTTAACAAGTAAGAGAAAAGTAAGAGAATAAAGACATTTATTGTGACTTCACTCATTCATCATTGACTTAACTTCTTTGCTGAATTAGTACTTCTTAAATACTAGAAGATTTTCTCATTTTTTCAGTATGTTATTCTCAATGTAATGGCTTCAGATATAGCACACTGCTAAGCTTAATCTACACTGTTAATAATTTATCCATCACTTTCTTAAGTCTAAACAATAACCAAAATAATAAACCAAACTCTGATTGGTAGTGTTTGCTCTTTCCCATGGTATAAATATTCCTACTATGACTGATTTCAAACTATTAATGTAATATTACTGAATGAAAAGTTAGAAAGCAGTATGCAGAAGCATTTCCACCATATAGATAAAATAGATATAAATAATCTCAAACATCGATAAAAGTAAAATGCAGTATAAAAACCAGGAAGTGATCAATTTTGAGTATGCTTGACCTTTTTTTTTAAGTTGCTTTCTTTCATGAGAGTTAAGAAACACGAAGTTGAAAGCATTCATATACTATAAGGTTCAATTTTCATTTCTCCATTGATAACTAAAAGTCAATTTTGTTTTATAGAAATGGCATTTGTTACAGTTTGGAAAGTGGTTTGTACCCTCAAGATTTTATGTTTTGGAATTTGGTATTGGGAGGTAGCAAGGCCTAGTGGGTTATGGTTGCATCATTGAGGCAAAACATTGAATAGAATAGATTAAGGACACCTCATGAGTCTCTGTGAGTTCTGGGATTAGTTCTCATGAAAGCCGGTGGCTAAAAGAGGGAGCAAGCTGCAGGAAGGAGCTTGGCATCCTGTGCTTCCATCAGCCATGGTGTAGACTGGCCTAATGGCAGGCCTACCCTTTTGGACTTTTTAGCCACCAGAACTGTGAGTCAATAAACCTCTTTTTCTTTATAAAACATCCAGTCTTCAGTATTTCTATTAGCAATGCAATAACAGACTAAGACAGCATTGGACTGGGAATTAAGAGATATGGAGTTTATTTCTGTCCCTTCCATTAATTAGATATGTGGTTTTGGGCAAGTCATTTAATCTCTTGGAATATTGGTTTCTTTCACATAAAATTAGAAATTGCACAAAGGTCCCTTCCGATATAAATCTTATGATTCAAATACTGTCTCATATAATTTACAATTTGTTAATCTTCTTCCCTTCTTGGAATTGGAATATAAATGATAAAAAAGCATGTTTTTCTTAAAACACTCTCATAAGCAGTATTTTAATATATTTCAAATATGTTTCACCATCAAAGTCTGTGTGAAAAGTATAAAAAACATACTCAAGTACTGCTACTTACAGTACTAGATGCTATACATACATATATACTTTAGATACATATGATGGTGGTCCCATAAAATTGTAATAGGCTATACCATAAAGCCTTCGTGTGTAGTAGGTGATACCATTTAAGTTTATGAAAATATACTTTACAATACTCACACAAAGACAAAAATCATGTAATGATATATATTTTCAGGAGGTATCTCCATAGTTAAGCAGTACACAACTGAATAACCAACCAAGCTGAGGGAACTGAGGCAAAATGGTTAAGTATACCATGAAAGGTTACACTCAATAGCAGAGTTAGGATTTCTTGTGAGCTTAACTACTATATTATACAACTCCTTTTTTTGGAAAAAAAAAAAAAGTGGCTCACTAAGTAAAACAAGAATACAGTTCCTATTGGGAGTTAAATATGTAGAAGGGAAATTTATATCATAATATAAATTAGATGTTGAATACTGGGTGAAAAGATAAGAAAGTAGGAAAATTATGTAAATACAACATGAAAGTAAACTGGGAAGGATATGCTCTGGTATTGTGAAGGACAATGAACAGAAAAGTAGTATACAGAAGGAATAAATTAGAGAGTACAGTTTGAAGGGAAATAAAAACAAAAGGTTGACAATTTCACATCTTTTACTCATTGTGTAATAATATTTAGGTTTTGAAAAAGATTAGTGCTTGGATTCTCTAGTTGAGTTTAGGGGACTCTTTTTTACAACTCATCTTGGGACTGTTGGATACCATGGTGTAAGAAGAAGTTGTAAATATTCTAGCCCTTGCCTTCTTAAGCTCTCAAATTATGACTTCTGTTGCCACTTTTTTCTTCATTCTGTCACTTTATGCTTCCCATAGTATATACAGCCCACTGTTGACCAAATTATTGTTATGTGGCACAAAACTATATTTTAGGGATTAAGTAAGAAAATGTACTGTTCAATACCCAAGAGAAAAATGTTACCAGTTAATAATCATAATAATTTCAGATGCTGATTTTTAAATACCATTAGTTATCAATCTGAAGTAATAACTCACATTCCCTCTTAAGTTGATATCAACAGTCATTTACCTTTGTCTTGATATTCAGATGGTTCTTGTTGAACTTTCCCACAGATCTGATACTGATCCCACTGCTCTGTTATAGGCAACTCAGGTATTTTAAAATATTCTCCCCTTAACAGAGAAAAACATTAAAATGTTAAAGAAAAATTAAAATTAATCTGACTTTGAAAACTACTTATTCATATAAATGAAAAATAAATATGGCTTATCCACTCAACATTTCTATGATAAAATGTACCCAGCCTGAGTCGCAAAGGGTCAAAATAGGTGTTTAATGTCAGGGAATGTTTAGTTATTTTTACATGTTCCTAATAGAAATCTGCTATTTGTGTATATCTTTTTTTTTTTTGAGAGGTGATCCCTATCTGTGTAAATCTTATAAAATCTATAACTAATGCTACTTTCAGAAACATAACAAAAGCTGGGGTCTCTAGTAGTAGCGCTAATACCTATCCTGATTGGTCAGTTCCTATTCTGTACTGGTTGTTAAATATGTTAAATGTCATCCTTGGGGACCAGCAGTTGGCAAAATGGCTATGTCACTGGACTCCCATGTAGTCAACTACGGTTCAAGTCCCGGACCCGGTGGCTTAAACTCACAGTGCATGACTAAGATCCTGAAAGGAGAATGGAGGAGAAGGGATTGTGGCATGGCCATCCCGCCCTGGGGGGTGATTTCTTGCTTTCTGTCTCTCTGTCTCTCTGTCTTTCTGGCAAGCACATGCACCCTATAGCAAAAACCTCTCCAAAATAAAAAAAAAAGAAAGAAAAGAAAAGAAAAGTCACTCCTGAATATAGAATGTCTTTATCTGGAAGAGAAATTACACATAGTTTATCTTCTAGCCATCAAAATACAGGGAAAAAAGTACTAAATTGTCATCTATAGCCTTCTGCTTAGTAACTAGAAACATGAGCTTTGTTATTTTTTTCATATATAAAATGGGATAAAAATACCTTATTTTATGAGCCAGATTAGTAAGGTCACCAGACAGACAGAGAGAGACATTAGAGACAGAAAGCGAGAAATCACCCCCCAGGGGCAATGGCCACAACGCAAACCCTTCTCCTTCATTCTCCTCTCGGGATCTTGGGCATGCACACACACGCGCCCGGTGTGAGGTTTAAGCACTGGGACCGGGACACGAACCGCGGTCGACTACGTGGGAGTCCAGCGACATAGCCATTACGCTAACTGCTGGTTCCCAACACTGTTTCATTATGGAACTAAATGCTTATCTTAATTTGAGGGTAGCCAGTTACTGTCTTTCCCTGAATAAGAGATTATCTGAAAGAATAGAAAGTTTATGATAAATACTTTACTTTAGATATTAACATTATATTTGTACCTTGATACACTGGGAAGGGAAGGTTTTGCAGTAAAACTATACTCCTTAAGAGCCACACTTTGAGATTTATTCATCTGTATCTATTAATGAAAAAAATATATAAATTCAGCTATCAGTATCACATCAAGACCTTTTAAGAAATAAGCAAAATAGCAAAATACCTACTGGTTCATAAAGTCCCTAAATCAATGAATTAGGAGAAATTAGGCTAGTTCTCAGCCTGAATCTCCTTCTCAGCTCCTTCCTCTTAAATATTGACATTATCATGGTTTTTCACTAGCCTTTCTCATCTCACTGTACACATTCACAAAGATCTCAGTTAGGCCCTTGGCTTTGATTACTGCATACATATGAATGACTCCAATCCATAATTCTAACTCAGTTCTCTCTACTGGTTCTCAAATAGCCATATCCAACTGTCTGTAAGACATATTTACCTAGAAACCTTGTAGGCATCTAAATTCAGCATTCACATATTGAACTTTTCCTGTCTCTGCTCCCTGAAACTTGTGTTACCTTTAGAGTTTTTATACTAGTGAGGTCCACACTTTTTCCCCACTGCTCAAGTCAGAAACCTGTGTATTTTTTATTACTCCTTCTTCTTCTTTATTTTCAAAGTGAGTTTTTTGCTACAGGCGCATGAGCTCAGTAGAGAGACAGGAGAAAGTGAGAAATCACCTCCACCCCCAGGGCAATGGCCATGCTGCAATCCCTTCTATTCTCAGGATTTGGGGGCATGCACATGGCATGAGTTTCAAACTGCCAGGTCCAGGCCTGGCCTGGAATTATAGTAGGCTGTGTGGGAGTCCAGTATCTTTTTTTTTTTTTTGAGAGGTTTTTGCTACAGGGTGCGTGCACTTGCCAGAAAGACAGAGAGAGACAGACAGAAAGCAAGAAATCAGCCCCCAGGGAAGATGGCCACACCGCAATCCCTTCTCCTCCATTCTCCTCTTGGAATCTTGGGCATGCACGCACACATGCCCAGCATGAGTTTAAGCCACCGGGTCTGGGACTTGAACCATGGTCGACTACATGGGAGTCCTGAGACATAGCCATTACGCTAACTGCTGGTCCCGGGAGTCTAGCATCTTAACCACTACATCACCTGCTGACCCTTCTTTTATTACTCCTCCTATTTTACCCTTCTTAACCAATGAAGTACACCAAGGTAGTTGATTCTACTTCTAAAAAATATTTTAAATCCAGTCACTTCTCTCCATTACTACTGCCATACCCAAGACTAGGCCATCATCTTCCTTGGATTAGTGTAAAAACTTCCTAATGAGTCCCTATGTGCCTATGCTATCATCCTCTGATCCCTGCTTTATATTGCAGCCAGAATGAACTTCATAAAATGCAATTCTGATCATGTCACTGATTAAGGTCCTTTGGCAACTTCCCAATACTTTCAGGATAAAGTGTAAATCCCTAAAATAGCAAAAAAGTCTGAATGGTTTACATTAGTTCTACTTACCATTTTAGGTT